AACGCCTGATGTTGTGAAAGCGATGACGACAAAATTAAATGTTTATATATAGTCACGTGAAATATATCCTAGCCTAGTATATGTATGTATATGTATTCGGATGCCCTGATAAAGAGCAGAAACCGTTTGAAAGGTCTGCGTTCAGGAGTCAGAGTCTAGCCTGCACATTGAATACACCACCTTTTATGGGTCCTGACTGACTTCCGCCAACAGGATGTTGATTGTTGCCTCATCACCCCAAGCCGGAGGTGGTCCATGCCCCTGGTCCTGGCCCAGTTGAAAGGAGCTGAGTCAACTCGAAAAAGGAAGATGTTCTAATTTCCTCATTGCCATGGTCTGCACTTCTCCTGGAGGACCTTTCGAACTGAGCCATCTCCAAACAAATCTTCAGTGCCGCATGGCCAGCTGCCGAGGGCCATGGCTGGAGCCGGGTGAAGAAACCAGAAAGGAGAGGCTACTGATCGCTACCACTGACTAGGTGTTGCAAACGACAGGACAAAAATGTGCAAACATTCAGAACGCCAGCGGTAAAAGCCGATAATCTTTGGTCGTGCAAAGCCTTGGATCATCTTCCCTCATATTCGACCACTTTGCTTGTCACTCCCTCCAGCTGACCCTATACTCAAGCTTTTTATAGCTTTCTCATCTAATCACGCTTGCTTGTCTGCTTGTCTGTATCTCATTTCGATATTTAGCTTAGCTCGTGTTTCATTTCATCTCCTCACGTCGGCTCATCCAGCATATACCTACAACCACTCCACAAAGTGAAAAAGGATCCTGCGGCGGCGATGCCCGACATTCTCACTTGCACGAGCTCTGAACAACCGCATGTGGTGTCAGCGAGATCAGCATCCAAAAACACCCACGAACTCTTTCACCCACCTCTTTCCAGTCATGGATCTTGCCCAAAGCGGTAATGGCAGCCGTGTAGTCGCGGTCCTTGAGCTGTAGTAGCAGGGTTCAGTCAATGGTTTTTTGGTGTCTAGCTCTAAGAGCTATATAAGAAGACCAGAAGTGGGAGAATCAACATGAATCAACCAAAATCCAGTGCCCTGCAAGTCGCACATCCACTTTTCACCGCACCTCACCGCGATCCTCAAACACTTGCCTCACCTGCGCAGTGGAGTCTTGGAGGATCTGAGGCGACGTTCTCGTTCGAAGATGAGGATCGCGCGTGTGATTTGCGTGAAAAAGGTAGTGATGATCATGTTATTTGGAGTCAAGATTGAGAGGACTCCTCATCAGAGCCAGCCAACATTGCCATGGGACCCAGCGATTTCACGTCCACTTCCTTGACCTTTTTGGGCGGCGGCTCTTCTGAAGAAGAGCTTGAAGAGGTTTCCCAAGCAAATTTTGAACCATCAGGTGGATCGTCAGCTTCTACCTTCTTAGGTTTCTCTTCACTTGATTCATCCTTGTGGACAGGTTGTGCTTGAAACTGCACCTTTTGAATTTCTTCTTTGCATTTCTTGTCTTTCTTGCTCTTCTTGTCCTTCTTTTTGTCCTTTTTCTTCTTTTTGTCTTTCTTGTCCTTCTTTCCCTTTTTGTCTTTCTTTTTCCCTTTCTTGTCTTTTTTCTTTTGAGCCTTTTCAGCGGCTTTTCGTGCAAGCTTTTCCAGCTTAAGCAGTTTTTCAGATTCTTTTTGTTCAATCCCTGCAACGGCAGCCTCTGAGGCTACCACAGACCAATCCACTCGATATGATTTTTCAGTCTGACCCTGATAATCACCACCAGTCACGGAAGAGACCGAAAGTCGTTTCTCCCCGTAAAGTTCTGTCATCAACTTGCTGATGACACGTTCTTGATCAGCCTTCTGACAGCATTCCATTTGCGCATACACCCCACGTGTGGGCGACCAACACAGCGAACAGGTCTTCAGACTCGCCGAGCACCAATCCGTCACGTACTGAGCAAAATGCGCCAAATCCCTGAAGCTGTTCACCTTCTTGTCGAAGTTGTCGGCATAACAAAGGAAGGCTGCATCAGCGTCGCGGCGAAAGGCATCAACCAGGCCTTCGGGCTTGTAGAGTGGCAAGTAGCTGCCCTCTCCCGTCCAACTCTTCACTTTGAGCGTCGATTTGCCTGGGCAAAATGCAAACTAGGTTCAAGTAAAGGCGGAAACATCGGCGGAATGATAAGGAGACTGCTTCGTTTGGCTCTGCTCTTGAAAGTTGAGCCGTATGGGTGAGGCACAGGCAGGAAGAAAAAAGACGAATCTTTGACTTAAATCACTGGTGCAACCTAAGTTAAGTTGCTGCTGGAGAATTCGATCTCCACATTAAGCGGCTGCCTTGCTGAATCCACTCGGATCAGCGCACATACCACCTGGGGTCGGGCACAAAACCGCCATCAACTGTCGGTATTCCGGTCAAATTTACAAGGGAATGATGTCAAGCTCATAATGGAAATCTTACCATGTTTTACCGCTGCATGTTGCAAGACGAACATGCTTTCCATCTTCAAAGACTTTCTACTGGACCGACCCCTCATACCTACTACAGCATGTCGTCGACTCTCCGGCACATTGCATTACAGTAGCAGAATGGGCTTCGCAAACGATCCATGCTTCATGATGCTTCATGCATCTTCACCCTGTTGCCACACGTTGCGCCACTCACGATCAAGCACTAACCTAAATGAGCCCGCGTTCATGGTTTTTTATTGGTGCTCTAGTTGATCATGGACCAGAGACACAAAATGAGTGTTCATGCTAAAAATTCCATCATTCTCATTCCCTAAGTTTCCTCCATCTCCAGTCAAACGATGTGCTCCTGTTTTTCCTGGTCGGTGCTCCCATTCCATTCCCATATTGCGCCTCTCCATAGAGGCCGAATTCCCTTCGCAGCGCACGGAGGCCCAGGGTCTCGGCGCCCTCCATGACACGAAACTGGATCCGAGGCTTTCCCGGAGCCATGGCGGCGAAGGAGGAGAAACGTTAAGAAAGGCCTTTCTTGTTGTGGTTCGATAGGGGTAAACGCGCATGGTGGGGCTTATTATATCCTATTTTTGGACCTGGGCGTGTTTGTATTCGGATGTGGAATGGAAGTGTTTGGATGCATGGAAGGGTGAAAACTGATGACTGAGATTGAAGGGAATGCTTGGTGTTCGGACCCTAAGGAATGGTATATAGTGATATATAAATATGGTAGCTACAAATACTATCTGGCTGCGGGTTCAGAGCAAAGATTTTCCTCCATGTTCAGTCATCTGTTCGTTTGGCTTGTGATTTGAGTCTGGACGGCTTGACTATTGGGGTAACTACATGCTACCAGTTACCAGGTGCTATCGGGACCTTCTGTGGCTCATGGTTTCATGTTGCTCCAGCTGTGCAGCTAGCCTTGGCCCTACATGGCGTTAAAGTTCACACTGTGCATCAGCACCTCGTAGCAATTCCAACGACTCAAAGCAGCCGAACACCTAGTATTTACACAATCTTCCCGGAGTTGCGGGCACTGAGGCGCAAACATTCCCAAGAAGAGCCTGCAGATTTCGAACTCTCTCTCTCTCTCTCTTTCTCGTTGGTCCTGCTCCCATGGAGCTAACTGCTACTGCTATGTGCTCGTGTGCCTCCCTCTTCAGCTCCGCCACGGTGTTCCGGATCGAATCTTTCGAGGAATTCTTGTCCTTCAACCGCAGGAGGAGCTCCGATCTGGAGAGGCGACGGAGCCTCCTGGCTGACCCACAAAGGGAAATAATCAAAAAGGCACAAACCGGACAAGCCTCATGCAGAGCTGCTACGTTCATTGCTGCCAGCTTCTCCATGTTCCGACTGCTTGCATGTGCACTGTGTGCACAGTCTGGCTTCAATACCCTGCATAACTGGAGAAGGATGATGAGATGATGAGATTTTCTGTGTTCTCTTGCCCACACTTTGGCCAGCCGACTTCCATTTACTGATTATATTATGTTATATTAAATATATATATATATATAATATATATCATTAATCGATCTACCTACTTTCCTAACTACCTATATATATAGTATATCTAGTCCGTATGTATGTGTGTGTATGTCCTGGAATTCGCCCTTGGACAGGGTCAGGGGCGGCACTAGATGTCATGTGGTACGAGTATATATCTTGAGCCCCTCTGAGGCCAGACCAAAGCCTGGAGACGGCAAACAGTCACAAAGCCTGCTTGTGTCGAAATTACGCCACTACGCCAGCATAGACCAGTGGTACCCTGCAACGGCAGGCTCCAAAGCGCACACTGGCACGAACATCTGGCAGCAACACCCTGCAGCCGCACCAGCATCCAAGCTTCCAAGCACACACAGCCATACACATCTGCCAGCGGCACCCTCCAGCAGCATCAGCACCCAGGCTCCAAAGCGCACACGGGCACATCTTCCTATACTTACAAATAGCTCTCGCTTAAAGCCCACACTTCTTCAAATTCAGTCACACCATAGCTGGTCACGGCCATTTTGCACTGCTGAAGGTCTCTGGGTCTTTCAAGAAATGGCTCGTTAACAAGCTGGAGCAGCTTGGTGTGGATCAAGGTCGCTTCACCAAACTGTATTTCAGCTTATCTATGTCAATTTGCCACATCCATGGCGAAATCGATTTCTCCTGGCCAGGCTGTCAAAAGGTGGCCCATCTCATTGAGAAAGAAACTGGCCTGGCCAGGCCTTTAAGTGATCTGGCACAGGGGCTTTGCTGCACCGCACGACTTCAGAACAGTCGTACCAACCGCCAACCTCAAGCAAACGCTAAGTGGTGGCAAATAATAGTGAGTGCGTCAGCACATCTGACATGCGGACGATATTACCAATGATTGCCATGTCCTGTGCACTATTGAATATTGACATATTGATGTTTGGGACTCCCACACTGAGGCGTTGACATGTCCAAAAGTGTACACCCTCAGGCGACATGTAGCCTACCCTACTTCGTGATTATGACTGTGTTTTTTGAGCAGCAAATCCCGAACATCAACAACGTGTGTGGACGTGCTCACCTAGCTCTCTCTCTCTCACACACACACATCCCGCCTTCATCATCCTTGCTTCTGCACCTGCTCAATGGAAGGCCAGCTCAGCTCCGCTCGAATCGATTCCACTTGCTTTCTTGCTTCCACTTCCCACACTCATTCCATATCATTCCATGTCGTGCCGATTCTTGCCGTATGTGCTTCACCTTCACATCAATTGGCTCAAAGGGCGAAGTGCGCGTGTTCCCCATTCCGCCTCCTTCAGTGTGATTTCCAACGGCACCTCTCTGAAGGTCACGTCCGACTCTGGGAGTCCTGGCTGTCAAATGGCAGTCGGTCAAACATCTGTGGCCTCCCGAACTTGAGTGATCTCCAGTGACTAACATCTTGACTTTTTCGACCCACACCTGGATGCTCCTGCAGCTTCCTAAGCTCTCTCTCTCTCTCTTATTTGCCAACACGGACGCAGGGGTGAAACATGACGGGCCCAAGCTGCCAGGCTGTGCTCTCACCGTGGGTCCAAAAGAGAGCGCAAGCCCAACCATCGATTGACCGGAGCCACGGTTTCGGGCGCTGAGTGAGAGGCCCCCGATGACGGAACGCGCGAGAGCTTCCTCCGCTTGCTCTTCCGGGGCGCCGCTGGAGATTCCAATTCTTGGGGCTCTTGTTGCGGTTGTGCCTCCGCCAACTGAGCGTCCTCTTGGGTGGAAAAGAGGCTGCGTATCACCGAGCTGGCTCGGCCAGGCTGGCCAAGTTGCTTGGCAAGACGGTTGGCTCGATGGAGCTCCTGACAAATCAACCCTTCCCACACGTCAAGGCGCAAACAGCGCGCGGCATTCTCCTCCGGCGCAAAGGGCACCTCCAAGACCAGTGGCTTGTAGCGGCCCACACGAGGCTGAGCAGAAGCCAGCGCGATCGAGATCGTCCAATTTTGAAGCTTGGGTAACTCTTCAGCAGTCCAGGTGAAGAACTCAATCAACAGCTGAACCAAGTCTTCTTCTGAAGGAACTTGCAAACCCAGAGGCTGGGGGCAGCATTTCTCAGGGTTTGCAGGTTTTGCCCTCCATCCAGTTACTGAAGATTGTGATGGCAATGAGCACCGCCGGCCTTCTTGCTGCAGGAAGAAAACCGTCAGCAAAACAAAGCCAAAGCTGCTCAATCCGCCCTTCAATGTGTTGGTGAGCTTCCGGCGCTTCGCCCAGAGCTTCACCAGCCGACATAACGCGGGCGCCATGCGGTCCCGCTGCAAGACCGCATAGACGGCTCTGTCACAAGCGCCTCTCAAGAGACTACCACCCACTGAAACATCAACCACCACGTTCCGCTCGCCTTTGGCACCACAGTGCAAGCGCAGCACTGGAACCTTGGCTGAGAAAATCCTCAAGGCGATTCGGATCTCCTCCAGCTTGGCATCGCTCAATGCCTGGGCCAATCGTTGTAAGCACTGCAAGGCCTCCTTTCGATCGACAGTGTCCACCTCCTTTTGACAGAGCTTCTTGGAGCGGATCACTGCGATGTCTAGGTCCGAGCCGCGCAAAGCCAAGCCCTGGGCGTAGGAGCCTTGCACCACGACCGCTGAATCGTCTCCTAAGAGCTGCCGTGCCAAGAGCTGCACGTGTTCCAAACAGGTCTGCACTGCTTGAAGCTGTACCTCATCTGGCAAGGCAGCGAGAAGAAGATCCCTTAAAGGTCCACCCTTGGGCCCTGAATCCCGGGGCCTAACTGGTCTGACTGGCCGCTGCTTTTCGCCAAAAGCTGCCTTGGTTCGGTCATGCTTTGGCCACTTCTTCTTCCACGATGTGCGAGGCCGCTTCCACTCCGCCCTTCCCTTCTCGCGCATGCGTCTAGGGTGCAGCCATTAGAGCACAAGCACGGCCCACTAACCTTTCATCTGGCTAACGCTGCAGGCGTCAAACCCTGAGCCAGCTTTCAAGGAGAACAACTGCGCAAAGGCCAGAAAACCATATCATATAGAGAACCAGCGTAGTGAGAAAGCCTGACTACTGGTTACATGGAGTTGTGAACAGACAGCCATGGTCACCTCAAGCAAGTAGGCCCTATCTGCCATAGAACGGTTGCCAAGTCTTCCTCTCAGCTTTCTCTCATGCTTTCTATCTTTTTCTATCTAAGCTGGTTGATGTGGCCCACCTAGTTCGTCGGGCTTGTCAGGCCGAAGCAGCTTCACCTGCGAGGCTTTTAGGGCAAGCAGCGGAGCCGGGCAAGCTGAAAAGAAATACGCCTTGACCACATCACCAGGCTGATGTTCATCAAGGGCCGCATATATGTCATTCCTTCCAGCTCCAGCTTTCTTCTGTTTCACAACCCTGGTCCCTGGTTTGACAACATGAATATTTTACGATTCTTACGGCTTCCATGCAAACACTCTCAGTAGCGAGCACTGTCTTGATCCTCCTGCCATCGATGACCTCCAGAATGTCTCCTGGCTTCACGCCTGCCTGTCAGCGGGACCATCCCATCAAGCTCCAAAGGTGAGGAGTGGGGATGAAAGCCGGGTAGGTGGCCTGGTGGTACGTACAGCTTATTTAATTTTGTGTTCATGTCCTGGCTATTCTGGAGGTTCCCCGATTTGGAGTCAAGCTTCCTACTAGCTTGACTCCATGCAGCAGTGTTGCCTGGTCGACCGTGCCTCTCCAGCTGCACTATTTTTCTGCAACCCAGCCACCACGCCGCCAGGTCGTCCTCAAAACCAAGGGAATCGCCGTGTTTTTGGCAAGCAGAAAGAATATTTTAGAAATGCAACAACCAACAAACATATACAATTGTTTGCTTCTACGAAAAGCATGAACTGAAGAGCAACAAACGATCTAATGCGCCACATCTGCCAGCTTGCCATCTACATTGACGTCGACCTGCCACCTTTGTTAGATCCCATCCTGACAGTCGCTGGGCCAGACCATCCTGACGGCATTCAATAAAGGACGGACAAATCCCCTACTTATATAATGCATTTTATATAATAGTATATAATGATATATTATATAATGTCAACACGTGATTAAGGAACCCGCACACCCCCCCAATTGGTTAGGCACCCCTCTCTTGGGCCAAATGTTTGCAAGACTAACCGTTACTTGCCGGGGGGTTCTTCATGCGTCGACATTAGACATGCCCGAGCCTGGCCAAGATAGAGGCCCAAGCCAGCTCTTTTCACGTAGCCAAACCTGGCACTGCTTACATGACTCGAATGGCTCCATGACTCGAATGGGCCACCCGCTGGAAGGATGCAAAAGAAACACATACTATACTTTTTTAATCTTGCATCCAATACTGAGTCTCAGCATCGAGAAGGATGCTTGGGCGCTTGGCTTTTGGATTATATTGCTCGATTTGCGCCGCCCTCAAAATTGCGTCATTCTGAGACTGATCTCCATCATATTGAGTATGACTATGCAGTGCATGAATGTCTTCGTTAGACTTAAACACCCAATGCTGACGCGGTCTTCCAACTCTACGTTTCCCTATATGTTTGGGCTCGGCGCTGTTTTGTTGATAGGATACTTGTCTAAGGGGATCGTGATTAGGGGCCCGCAATATATGTCCAGCCAAACGAACTCGCTTCTGATCCAAATCAATCGTAACGGTCGTAACGGGTCTAATTCTTCTATTAGGATCATGCGGATATGCTGTTCTTGAAGCAGGTTGGAACACCTTGTCGTTCGTCCACCGTCGGTCAATGTAAGTTGTGGGTATTTTTAGAATTTGCCTCAACCCACGTAGTTGGAAACTATAAATATTACAGTATACCATCTCCCAAACTGGCTTTGGTATTCTACGCCGAGCCATCGAATGGAAACTCATCTTCGTCTTCTGGGTGGTCCGACCCAGCGTAATCGGAACCAACATGAAGCAACATGCGATGTCGGCGATGCCAAGGGGCTTCAAAATGCTGTTGACGCGCGCCGAGACGGTGTCACTGGGTATGGCAAAGCCAATGCCGGCCGAGGCCCCACTGGGGGAGAAGATCGCTGTGTTCATGCCGATGACCTGTTGGAAAAAGCGTTTCTTAGAGATGCAGCGTTTGCAAAAAGGCCAGAAGCTGAAGGTGGTAGGTCCATCACTCGCGAAACCTACTGTGCACAAACTCCCCCTCCCAACCAACCCTGAGGAGC